CGCGCGCTCTCTCTCCGTCTCTATAGCGCTCTCTCTCCCTCTCTCTCTCTCTCTCTCTCTCTCTCTCTCTCTCTCTCTCTCTATCTCTAGCGCGCTCTCTCGCTCTCTCTCTATCTCTATCGCGCACTCTCTCTTTCTCTAGCGCGCGCTCTCTCTCTCTCTCTCTCTCTCTCGCTCTCTCTCTCTCTCTAGCGCACTCTCGCTCTCTCTCTATCTCTATCGCGCACTCTCTCTTTCTCTAGCGCGCGCTCTCTCTCTCTCTCTCTCTCTAGCGCACGCGCGCGCGCGCTCGCTCTCTCTCTCTCTCTCTCTCTCTAGCACGCTCTCTCTCTCTAGCGCGCGCTCTCGCTCTCTCTAGCGCGCGCGCTCTCTCTCTCTCTTTCTCTCTCTCTAGCGCGTACTATATAAGATCGTGCACCATGCTCAATAAATATTGCACAAATAAGCAATCGCTGACCAGGTGGTGGCCTCTAGCTCTCTATTGCTATTGCTGCATATCACCTACTAGGGCACACACCACAGTCGAACAAGAACATGCATGGTTGTCCAGGGGTTGTCCTCTTCTTTTGTCTTTGAAGTTAATCATTCATTGCGGCATACAAGTAGAGGTCTATATCTAACAGTTGGTTTAGTAAAGACCAAGGCAATTTATACGCCGCGGGAAGTCTGACACCTGCTGTTCTGTTTGGCCAAGAATTGTGGGTTTGTTGGATAGTAAAATAGTTTCAAGTTAATGTTTCTGCAATGTCTATTTAAAGGAACAGTAAGAAAGTATATATACAAGAGCCAGAAGGCAAATTGCGAATCATGCATTTATTTGCATTGTGCAAAAACAATCCTAACAAATACATTTGGCATTATTGTGTCATCATAGAGGAATCATATAAATTCCATTAGTATTCATGATTTATCAACTGCCTCGGACAGCAGATTGCAGCCAGGTTTAATAACAACAACAATAATAATAATAATGTCAATAATAATAATAACGATAATAATAACACCGGCAATAGAAAATTATCACCACCTTGATAATAGCATGTACCTACATTAAAAAACCTCTGAAAGAAATGACAACGGCAGAAGATAAACTCCGCGTGACACTATTCACAAAACTTCGTTCGCGAGGGCAGCGAGAAAAACACAAGAGGGCACCACTGATAGAAATGCGAACATTGCCGGTCTAGAAGCTCTGATGTTAGCAATGTCGATTGCGATCAGAAAGATGGATAGCTTAGAGCGTCGTAACGCACGCTATGACGCCCGGCTGACAGCACGCTCGTGTTGTTCACGAGGAGGCGTTCTTTGCTAGCACAGACAGGTACTTCCTGCTAGTCATTGTGTGATCGTGATTAGCACCTACTAGTGTTGTTCACGAGGAGGCGTTCTTTGCTAGCACAGACAGGTACTTCCTGCTAGTCATTGTGTG